TAAGAAAATGAATAATTAAAGGCTGCATTGATTCATTTTCTCTTTATCGTGGCAAAAATAACTAACAAAAAGAACTCAAGGAAGACAGTATTTTTGTCTCACCATTTGGGAGCACAGTCGTTCATGGCCAGGAAGATGTGCTGTCAGGGCTGTGAGGTAACTGGAAGCATCAAGTCTGCAGTTGGGAAGCAAAGGGAGATGAATTCTGGGGTTCAGCTTGTTTTCTTCTTAAGTTCTAGTCTAGAGTCTTAACCTATGGGATGTTGCCAGCACACTCAGGGTGGACCTTCTCTATTCAGTTTAATCTTTTTGTAAGTACCCTCAGACACACTCCAGAAGTGCATTTCCATGGTGACTCTAAAACCCATCATGTTAGCATCAATATTAATGACCACAGACTTTAAGTGAATTTCTCTTTTATAAGTGTGTGCTTGGCAAGGGGTAAAAGTTGAGCCAAATTCCATGCTTTCCATTTATTATCCCAGGGCAATTCAGGAAACAAAACTGACTGATTCCATGGATTCACGATTATGGACAAAGTCAAAAGCATTTGCGGCAGCTTGCTTTCAAGTGTCCTCCAGCTGATCTTTACAATCTGGTATTTATATCCTTGTACTGGCTTCTTCCACATGAAATGGGTCTACTGTGTATGTTCGGGTACTATAGAAATGGTGAGAAGAGTAGGTTCAAAAGACATCATGACTCCCAACTTCTCCCCTAGGCTGGTTGCTTTGGAGTAAGCCATCATTATGTTGTGAAGATATTTACTCAACTAAACCTTGAGAAACCCATGAGGGAGAAACTGAGAACCAATATGACAACTAGCATTTAAAAAATAGTCATTTTGGAAATCGACTATATCTAGCAGGTCTTCAGGTGACTGGACTCACCAAAATTTCATGAGGCAGACCACCCCCATAAGCCATTTTGAAGTCTCAATGGCCCCACAGGAACAGACAATAAATGCTGGTTGCTTTAATCGCAGGCTAACGTTTTTGCATGTAAGTAGATAAAAAGTGGAGAATTCACAAACTTCTACAGGCTGCCCACAGAGTCATAGTTTTTCTAATACCAGTGGGTCAGAGAATTCCTCCTAAGAAACAATCACATCTCTATGTCTGAAAGAGGGAGTCTGAAGTAATGGACATTCGAGATCTCTCCTGGTAGGAGGGTTTGGGAGACAGAAGAGGGTATGAGTCAGATCACCAATAGCTGCCTAAAGTTCCCATTCTGTCATGTAGATGACTAAGCACAATTTGTTGATCATTCACAATCTGGTCCATTGTTCAGCGACCAACTGCTGGCAAAGTTGAGAAAAAAAAAAGACTTGATTATGCTTTCAGGCACTGGGTGATTCTGTCTAGAGCTGGTCAGCATCCTTGGAATCAATGACCATTACTGGAATGTCAACAGCAGTTAGCAGTACATAAATCCATGGCAGTCAAGTTCAAAGTTTATAGTGAATTCCAACATGAACCATTGCTGTAAAATCTGAAACCTCAGCAGTGTTTGATTGCCTTGTCTGGCCTGGCAGGGGTCTTTCTTCTGCCCATGTTTCACCTAAGCCACAGGAGAGACAAGTTCCAGGCTTGGAGAAAGTCTGTGATTGAAATCAACATGGCCTCTTAGGAAATGCTTTCTGCACTGCAGACACTTAGATCCTGCCTGGTCAGTAGGGAAAGGGGAGCCCATGCTACAAAGACTAAGTGAAGCCCCGTGGGTAGCTGAACTCACTTTCAGTACGAGAAGGTCAGCATTTGATCAGGAAGGAATATATACTGTACATTTTCTGACATGTTTCTTCGGGTTTTTTTTCCCTCAAAGATGAACTATTACAAGCTGACCTTACAAAATGCTATCAGAGAGGGTACAGGTGAATGATAGAAGTGAACAGATGCAAAAAAACAAAAAAAAATAACCAAAGGAACAAAAACAAACTCAACATTCTAGTTCACTGAACTTGCTCAGTCAGCAGCCTTTCTCTTTGACCTTTGGGTCTGTCTGTGGTGCTTCTGCCCTCACCCTCAGGGCCCTGCAGAAGTGAGAAGGTTGAGAGCATTTGAGAGCACGAACCCTGGTGTGATATTTACCTCAGCTGAACCTGTGGGACTTGCCTCAGGAATATGTGCTTATGTTGTGGTTCGCCATCTTCACTTCCTGTCACAGCAGTCCTTCTTGTCTCCAGTTATATAAAAATCTGCATTATTATAAGGCCTTTGTGTGATAACTCAACTGGTTAATCAAATTAACTGGACCCATCTGTGAGGTAAAACATGGCAAATCACAAGAGTTGGCATGTTGGTTCATGATGAGCTGCAGTCTGACAGAGAAAATGTGGTTATATCTTCAGGAAAATTGCCTGCCCCATACTGCCTCAAATTCAATTCACATTTGACCCTTCCTCAGCTCACAGTTTACAACCCATTTTAAAAACTGTTTCAACAGAGAAGAGCACAATACTAGACTCCCGGAGACCCATGTATTAGTTATAACTCTCTAGATAAATGATCCCCCTATTAGTTGCGTGCCTCTGAAAGGAAATTGCCTTACTGTGCTACAACAGCCTGGTGCTATAGGTGGGAACTCCTTGACAGCAGAGGCTGTATTTTGTTCTTCAGGTCTCATGTGTCTCACAGGCCCCACCAATGACCACAAAAGTAAACAGTCACACACACCCACATTCATACAGGTCTTACGTAGGTGTACTGTGAAAGAAAGTATATAAGGATATACTCCAAGCAGTCAACATGGCAATGGAAGATACATTGTTCAGGTGAGGAGGAGGAGGAGAGCCAAGCCATAGAGAATGAAGAAGACTGCCCTGAAAATTCTTTGATGTATATTCTGCTAAAAGCTGTGGTGGTGCATGCCTTTAATCCAAGCACTAAAGAGGCAGAGGCAGGTGGATCTCTGTGAATTCAAAGCCACCCTGGGCTACAGAGTGAGTTCCAGGACAGCCAGACAGCCAGAGCTGCTATGCAGAGAAATCCTGTCTCAAAAAAAAAAAAAAAAAAGAAAGAAAGAAAGAAAGAAAAGAAAAGAAAAGAGAAAGAAAAAGGAAAAAAACTGTGCATGAATGTGCAAATAAACTAGATGCAAGGAATGGTGATGGTTGTGTTTAGTCAAAGCGAACTGAATAGTATTTTAGAAAAGCTACAAACAAAAACCCTCTGTATACCTGTGGTATACCCATAATGGGATTTAAATGAGCAAGAAGGAGGGAGGACATTGCTGGTACTGTGAGAAACCACCTCCACTCAACTGAGGCACTCTCCAACAGATACTGGGAATTCCCTTTCAGCCATTGAGAACATCTTTGCCCAAAGCTGTGTCCACCCATTCCCTGGTGGGAATTCACATGCAAAGAGAGATCCACATGGGGTCCAAAGGTCTGGCCTTCTTCCCAGAGAAGCACAGCTCCAGAGCACCATCTGGCAATTCCGCTTCCTTCTGTCTCAGCTCAGTCTGTTTCTTGAGAAACCAAAACAAAGTGCAAGGATAGAGTCCAGTGTATTAAAGAACCAAGACAGGGAGAAACAACTACTTCCTGCGTGTATCTTTGTATTTTTCCCTTATTAGGATATATAAACATCACAATGACTTAGTTGGTTCAAAAATGGTTAGGCCAGCTCTCTGAGAATGAAGTCACTATCTCACACATACAGTGAAGGGAACAGGTGGGCAAAATAGAAGAGTGAATTTTAATTCCATGGAAAGAGAGACTGTTTAATATTTGAGCTCTCTGCTTCTCAAATAAAGTAAAAAATTAGGATGTCTACTATCCAAAATTCACTCCCAAATTACCTGTAGTTCATCCTTTTGGTGAAAAGCTAGATTCTAATTGGAAGAGAAAAATACCTGTTACATATACGATCTATAACCTCTCTCTCCACTAACAGCAAACCCATTGTGGACCACGTCTATGCTAATAATGCAGCCCCACACTGCTTGTGGCCCTACTCTCTTGAGAGCCAGAGGACTCACCAGAGATGGACGCATCTGGTCCTTCTAGAGCCAGTTGATCTCTGGGGTTCTAGGAGGTTTTTCTGGGAAGGCAAATCTATCCAGGGACAACTTAGAAAAGAAGCCTAGGCCTTAGCAGAATGCTTGTTCCTTCCTCCTTTGGATTCCAACCAATTTTTGCAAATGCATCCTCTTTAGTCATCTATAAATGAGACCCCTAAGGCTTAGTGCCCCCTTTTGGAGAAGGCTTAGTAGCATTTGTGAGCAGGAAGTCCTTGAAGGCATAATTATCCAGCCACCAACTACATTGACGGATCCTTAGGAACTGTGTAGGGGGAACTCCATCCAAGTTCTGCATAGCGCCCTAATTAAAACGGATGACAAATATGCTTACACAGAAGCTTCTACTCGAAGTAGATGGACATGCTTTAGAGTGGTAGTGTTTCTAACCATAGAGGAGCATTCTGCATCCTTTCATTATTGATCGAGCTTTTCTGCCTTAGTATTTGCTTGGAAAAGATCCAAATCAAGCAGGAAAGGGACAAAGATTCTGACCCCTAGGAGAATCTGGAAGGTCCTTGAGAATCTTCAGTGAAAAGTTGCACAGATAAAGAGACTCTGATAAATGGTACCTTCATCATGAAGGGATGCTCAACATGCTGAGGAAATTAAGGGGATGAAGGGGACTCCAGTTTGCAGAAGCAATTGGATGAGAGGCTTCTTGGAGGAAGTGACAAATGCTTGTTGCAATCAGATTATCCTAGAATTTGCACAACAATATTTAAGGTTGTTCAATTTGTTATATACAATATGTTTCTGGACTGTTTCCACAGAATTTTTAACTTATATATTTATCATTTTATCACAAAGTTGTAACCCTTAATAAAAAGAATTAATAAAATAAAATTCTGGAGAGAAAATAATAACTTACTAAGCAAAAATTTTATTTCTTACAGAGAGCTACTTCATCTATTTAAAGAGGAAAATGGGGAACCTGAGGTTCTCATTTTAAAGACACATATCCCTTCCTGTTACAGGCATCTGTATCAACTCCCTGCTCACAGGACCAATACCTTCAGGAGTTAGAATCAAAGAGTACACGGTCAAGAGAAAACATCAGAGAGGGCGACATCACGAAGGTACTGTGTGCTGTGGACCTTTAACTATCCATCATGCCAATGGCCAGTTTAAGGCTTTCAGTAGGAATTGCATATTCCCCGGGACCTGAGACCCTTTGTCACTGAAACAACAGCCTTGGGGATACTCTCCATGAAATGAGCTGGCCAACAGCGTCAGCTCCTCTGGGCTTCACATGGTCCCTGAAATCACTCAAGAAACCAGGTACTAAGATTTTGGCTGCTCATAAAATAGTCCTGAAATGCATTTCATGATGCAGTTGGTAATAAAAATGTCTTACTGAACTGAGTCCCTCCAAGAGGCTAGACTTGATTCTTAGCCCAATGCTCCTGCACCGGGCCTGCATGAATCAATGCTAAATTATTCATGAACCTGACTCTAAAATTTCCAGAGTTCCAAAACCCCTAATAAAGTATTATGAAAAAATATCCATCTCTTTATCTCTACCCATAACTATTTATACAACTGGAGGAAAACCTGTCGTTTTATTTCTTTTAATTTAAAAGCTTTCCTAATTCCTTTTTCTTACTGCATATATATGTCTGAAAAATTTGGGGGTTGAAATAATAACCTCTAAAAAATGGTCGACAGGAAAGGCTCTGAGGATTCAGAGTTGACAGGCACAATGAATATTTCGCTCCCTCTATAACTTCCCATGGCACTCAAACCTTATTCACTGAATTGAGAACTTTTCAAACAGGTGTGTCTGATTTTTATTGTTGTGCAAAGCAATGATGATATACCCACCAGCCTTCTTTTGCTATTTGTTTACACAGTTTTAAAGTTTGTTCGGGAAAAGCTCATTTCTTCCTGTGCCTCATTGTGTACTCAGTCATTCTCCCAGCACTCTACAGACACAATGTGAGTCTTGTCTGAGGGTCCACATTAAAATCTACCCAGGATGTCCTCAGCTGCATCCTGCCTCAGTTGGGGACACTAGACAACAAAATATCCCCGGGCCATTGTTTTTTTTTCCTTAATTCTTTGAACATTTGAAGTCATAAGAGACTTCATCATGTCAAGCTGGCTCTCAGCCATTTATATTTCAGGTGAATTGGCGAGTCTGATGTTTCAAGGCTACCCGCTGAGTGAGACAGACATTTCTGCAACCATGCAGAACTGGAACAGGTTGGACCAGTAGGCAGTAGTGGGGGCTACCTGTCACATCAGCATCCTGTATTTACATGGAGGTGATTTCACTGACCTACTCTCTACTCAGAGAAAATATCTCTACAGATAGAAGAGTAGTTGCAAGCCACTCACAGTAGGGAAAGATTAAACCTCCCATCCAAAAGAATTCTTCAAATAAAAACACTTCAAAAAATGACTTCTAAGGATTCATTGGTAGCAGAAGATCTGGAGTACTGTCATGCCTTTTAAAAAAGTTGATGCTGACTAAATGATTTAAAATGAGTGCTTTAGATATGAGAAAAAAATTAATGTGGTAAGCGTACCCCACATGTCCATCCAGCCCTGCTATCTTGGGCTTTTGGTCAAGGGATTAAAAGGACAGAAGAGAGGTCCCAGGCTCATGAATGAGACTCTAAGATGGCAAGAAGTGATTTGCCCAAGATGAGCATCAGGAAGACACAATACCCAAGACAGCTGTCACCATCACATTTGGAAACAGCATCATTCTGGTATCAAGGCCCCTGGCCTCAGTCTTGCCCTTGAAAACGAGTGTGCAGCCTGAAGCAAAGGATGTTCATGGACTCCTGATGAGTCTGTTTTTAAAGGAGGGTCTAGAGGATGAAGTCAGATTTCATGAGAGCCACATTCATACCAAGGTCAGGATCCATCTCAGTCCAGGGCTGGTAGAAGCTCATGGAGCCAGAGAAAGCCAAACCAAGATGGAAGGGAGAAACACCTGAAAGGCAGATAACAACTGTCAGGGGCTCAGGACAGGGATGGGGAGTTCTGCCGGGTCCCCTAAGGGTAGAACTTCTCAGGAGTCTGCAGAAACTGATGCAGAGGTAATTTTCAGAATGCCCATTCTCTGTCGGTTATTTATGTAAATCACCCCAGGCAGAGAAGCCAGCTCATCTTCCCCTGCCAAGCCTATCACATGTGCATGGTGGACCTCTCAGGAGAACATGGCTTATGAAGATTAACTTTCTCTCCCACATACTCACAGATATCTTTTGCAAATGCTGTTTAGTATAGAATAGCACAAGTTACCAAACAGGAAAGCAGCCAGGTGACCCAATGGCTCTTTGGTAATTCAGACCAAGGTAAACCCACCAGGCTAAAGGGAGCTGCCTGAATCAACTTGCCTCTCTCTCAGTCCCTATGCATTTGTGAGCGGCTTATTTTAAGAGCTGATTAGATGAGCCCCTAATAACATTAGAATGTAAATGGCCCCAGAAAGACTTTCAGCCTCTTGCCAAATTGAGACAAATGTGATATTTAGGGAACTGAGCTCCCAGCTTTGTGCCTACTCTGGACTGAAGACAGGTCCTGAAGCACTTTGCCTTCTCCCCTGGTTCACTGCAGCCTAAATGTGGGTTTGCTTGGATATCCCAGGGCTCTTTCACCTCTAAGGGGCTAGAATTCTATGTCAATGGTCTCTATGATCCTGCATTTTCAAGGGAAGTTATAGATGAGGAGACCAGATCTTGATACTCTACAGGCAAACTTCTCAGTGCCCCCATATCTTCTGGGAACTTTTGAGTTCAGGATATATCCTTTCTTGAGCAACTACTACTTTAAGTGATTTAATCTGCCATTAATGTCAGTAATACCAGAGTTTGGGTGGAAACAGCAGAAAATGAGATGTGGTTTTCTGTTGCCTAAGTATGTTTAGCACCGTCTGTAACTCATGGGTAAATTCAATTCCAGGAAAGACAGATGCATTGATCAAATAAATAGGGATAACTCTCCAATTTAGTATTCTGCTGTAAATTTTGTGGAAAAGGTAAAAAACAGAATTGGAAAAGAAGAGAATAAAGGTGAATGTAAAAGAATTCCCTGATGCTGAGGTAAATGTATGACAAGCAAACAAAACTATTGGTTTTGTCTTCACTCCTGTATGTTCTCACACCAGATTTAACATCTCCAGAACATATTGAAATGAAACTCATGCTTTGTCCCGTTGGATGTGGGTGGTCATTCAAGACTGTCCCTGAGTTTAAGCTTTCTTGGAAACCTACAAGGGCAGCTCTTTTATTTTCAGAGGAAACTAAATGTTCAGTTCATCCTTGCACTGGAGTAATGAACTTTCTCAGGGGAAACCAAGAAGCTCCAGAAGCAAACTATGAGGAGGAGAGGAACCTCAGACCTAGGCACTCTGAGGGACAAACAGTCCTCCCATTCTGGCCCCACAAATTCCCAGTTTACTCCAGCCTTCACTCACAGACCATTGGGTGGTTTCAGGTGCATTTAAACTGTGGCCAGAGTCAGACACCACAGTTGAATAGGCATGGCTTGCTTTAGCTGTGGGGATTGCAGAAGCTAGGTAGAGTTCAGCCCCAGGATCATGTTTGATCCTATCTCAGTAAGGGCTCAAAGGCTGTTTGATGTGGAGGACTATAAAGGGAATGTCAGGGGTCTCAGCCCCTATGCTTAGCCCTGCACCTTTGAGAAGTTAAGCACTTGTCCAATTGTGATGCACTTTCATGAAGAGAATATTACCCGAAAGGCCACTTCTCATTACTGTGCTTTGCTAGCATTGTATGTGTGGTTTTCTCTCAACATTTGTGGCTCTGAGAAACTCAGTGCTATTAGATGTATATGAGTTTGCCTGCCAGCTCTCTTCCTTTGCTAAGCTTTAGGCTGTATACACAGGGCTCCGTTTCATTTCACCCTCTCCCCCATGCCTTGCTTTGTCCTATGTCTCTGTATACAGAGAAAGCAGCCTTCTTCCTTGCCAAGGCTCACTCTTCCTCTAAGACCTCATCCCTGCATAGGATGGCAAGAATGCCTAGCTCCACCCCAGATTATAAAGGACTGGGATACGTGGAGATGGTGCTGAGTACAATGGAGAGGACATGGAGAATCACCAGCTGTACCTTCTGGACAGGAGTCAAGCAAGTAGGAGAGGCATTCTCCATACACATGAGGGTAAAGGAGCAAAAGACAGAAGAAAAGGATCCATCTGGGTAGAAGGAACAGCCTGGGGAAGGCGAGTGAGGTCATTGGGGTCCAGGTAACATGAAATGTAATGGCAACTGGGAAGACAGTGTACTGAGGGTACAGAGACTATGTGACACATAAGAAACTTTCACTCCTTGTCAATTGCAGGGGGAAATGGAGGGTTTAGAGTTATGGTATAGCACCATCAGATTGCCTTTAGAAAGATCACTGTTGAGCAGCGATGTGAGGGGCCGGAAATAGACAGCTGATCTAACAGTTCAGATAGGAGGAGATGGGACCTGAGTCCAGCATAGCAATGGACATGGATGAAGGCTCCAGGTTAACCCTCTCCATTCTCCACAAACACACTGGCATTGATCACGTCTCTTCTGCCCCAAAACCTCAGAGCATGTGTTGTGCTGTTCTTATCAACTTGTACTACATTTATTGTTCATTTCTGTAATGTTCCTGATCAAATTGTATCATCGTCTTCTCCTTTTCAAATTACAGTACCTTGCTCACCATGAGCACTGAAAGAAAGGTTATTTAGTTGAATTGAATTTTCAAGAGCTTCAAACCATGAATAATTGAGGACTCAGCCATGTATAAGTGCTCATCATTTACATAATTGTGTAAACAAGCTGATAAAAAATTTTTATTTTCCCCACTACTTTTATTATCCTAGAAAGCCTAACATTGCAGCTCTCCAGGTTTCAGGGAAATAATTTTTAAAATGTGTTCTGTAAGCCACACAGTGGCAGAGCCAGTGCTCAGTTTGGATCTCTCCAGAGAAAGGAAGTGGCTGAAGGGAGGGAACACATGATAGCATTGTCTGAGTATAAAGCCATGTACAAACACTGAGAACCACATTGCCTGAACAGACAGAAGTGCAGTGCACACTGCATGCTGGGAACCATGAACAGAGTCCCAA